CCCCAAAACCCCCAAAACCCCAAAACCCCAAAACCCCTAGTATGGATTATTATTTTGAAAAGTATAAATATTTATATCATAATGGAATCAAGTGATCACATATTCATCAGTAAATTAGGTAATGTCAATCCAAAATCTCCCATTTTAGCTAGAATTATATAGGATGTTACTCTACAGTTCATAAACTTTAGAAATCAGCTATGTTTTATAACTGTGGAAATATTCACTTCTCACTATTATTATAGAAAACAGAGTCAATGATGTGTTAGTTAGCTTCGACGGATCTAACCCTCAATGTATGGCCAAACTGAAGGAAAGCATTCATGTTCAGAACGAGGAGTCTCGAAATATGGGCAACAGTACAAATTCACGTTGCAGAGCTCATCCCAAGGTTCACCTACCTTTTTATAGGAATACTCGAAGTAAATAAGGCGACTCCTCGCAAGGATACTCAAATGAAGACTAATGAATCAATGAATGAAAGTAGTACACAAGAAACAGATCGTCAGAGCAGAATTCCTTATAAATTTAAGCGGCAATTTAAGACTCATCTAAAAGGAAGAATTGATGGTAACTGCACTCTCAACCCACATTCAAAGAATAATAAATTTATCTTCATCAACAACTTGGACCTTTTGGAGGATACTCCTGCGAAACAGGAGATAACCAAAAAGGACCTTCTAAGCAACTTTAGCAACTCCTGTTTCTCGCCTGAACCGAGCCACAGGAGGATCGAAAGTAGATTAGATGATAAATCCTCCCTCAAGGTAATAGAGTCGATCAAAAAGAACGTACAGAAATTCCTGATCCCTAGTGTCGACATCGAGAGGCAAAGATTTGTCCCCACAAGCATTATCAAACATAACAAAGTAGCTTATAATAATCCAAGATATCCTTCTTTCTCTGTGCCAAAGCAAAGAAATGGAGCTATCTCGAGTGACCCAAGCTTTAAAAAGACAAAGCTCGACCTTAGCAGGTTTAAAGGGAAAATCAGAGTCAACACACGTCTGCAGCTCCAAGAGGACCCTGATTTCATCGATCCTAATGTAAATCGGTGTAAGAACAACTACAGCGTAGTTTGTACACCAACTGTTGCCCTCACAAGTCAGGGTATTCTACGTAATGATTCAGAAACCAAGAATAGGACTATTGAATCTAGAGAAAAATCAGTTAATTCAGCTACCTTTAAACTCCCTCAGTTAAGTACCAGGAGTAAAAGAAGAGCAAAGTACTCTACCAGTTCTGCTAGAAAAAAGCTACCCAAGTGCTTCCTCATGGAAGATGATGACTTTGAGTCTTCTAGAAAGTCCATAAACTTGAGCTCCAAAAGGGTAAGAAAGCTATTTATTTCTAAATTTCATAAGCTATTCAAAGAAGTAATCATCTCTAAAGTTCTTCTAAACTTACTCTAACTTAAGTTAAGAATGTGGGATGATCTAAGCCTCCCTGCTCGAGAAACTTCAGGCTCAGTAGGGAACTCCCTAAATGCTGAAACAATAATTTTGAACACCTGGTGTTATCAGCTCATTGTTAAAATCTTCATACAAATAATTACACCTAAAACTCTGACAACTCATATAGAAATCCAAGGAAGAGTCAAGATCGAAGAAAAGAAAATTAGCTCAGCTACGAATCTCCAATTTAGCAGATTACGACACTGAAAGACTTCTCAAAGCCCAGATCTGCAAGAAGGAATGGAACGATTCTCTAAGATTTGGGCCAACCGGCCCAAACTGTTTCTAATCTCAGTGCAGAATAGAGAGGAAAGACATTAAGCTGTTTGGCAGAGATCTGGATTGTCTACATACCCACTATGCATTTCTTTCAAACAAAGACAAATGTTCCTCACTTAAGTCAAGATTTTTGATGCTAACTACTTTTCTCCAAAATTTTATCTATTAAACTTAAGATTTTCGTTATTCGAAACTCTAGAGAATTTCTATGTTAAATTAAATAAAATGAAATATGTTCGAAGATTTTTACTTCTTAAATGACTGGGACAAGCTGTTCTTTAGCACTAGCGATTATTGACACACTCATTGGATGAAAAGAGTGAAAGCCAGGCTAGACATCTACCAGATCTCACCTTGAGCGTACCAAAACATTCTGGAAGCTATAAATGTTTATAAAGTTAGGAAATTTCAGATTTATCTGATAGCTATAATTTCAATAAACTCAAGCCTATTTGGGGTTTTGGGGTTTTGGGGTTTTGGGGTTTTGGGG